GAATGGGGTAGTCTCTGAGCAGAATGAGGAGGCAGGTGACACTCTGCTTACGTGAGGGTGCCAGGGACTCGGCCAAGGTCCCCTAATTCTGCAGAGCTGCGATCGGAGCTCACTTTGGCTGAGTTTTGGTTCCTGGGGCTCCCCAGCATCTCACGGACAGTCCTGCGTCCTTCCCCTTAACAATTGTCTCAGGTTATTCTCAGGGAACACGCATATTCTGAAACATCCCTGGATGTTATAGATCTATGGGCTTACACTTAAAAAATAATGTGTTCTTTTTTAATGATTGAAACATATGGTAAACAATTCAATATTCGCTGATGTGGAAACAGACCAGGCAGCAATGACTCTGAGTTTGGCGAGTTGTCCCCCGGTGCAGGGGAGAAAGAAACCCAGGACCCAGGACCCTTCTACTAATTCTCATATGGTTTTGTAGTGGCGACGTGCCCAGGGCTTTTGTGTTTACGAGGCATTTTACAAACAGGAACCTGTCAATGTCTCTGCAAAGATTTACTAACCCAGTTTCACAGATGAGCACACCAGGGGTCAGGGAGGCCAAGCGGTTGTCATGGCCACCTAGTAGTACCAGCGTGTCCCAATTAACTTCTGCTAACTTAGTAATTTAACATTTTCATTTCAATATGGGAACGTTCCATTGATAACAGAGTAGTCACATGGTTCTGTTCTTTCCCAGCCTTGACATTTGATACCGTGGGGCTCTTATACTTAGCCCAGCAAGGTCATGTCCACACCTTCCGTGGGCTAGGTTCTCTCAGAAAGTTTGTGCCTTGTTTGTGATAAGCATTTTTGATAACTGTTCTAGCCAAAGATGAGTACTGCTTGTCCGGGTCAGAAGCATCTGGTCTTGGAGGTAAACACCCCGTTACAGCTGGACCTCAAAGACAGACACGACTTATTACACTAGCTGTTTATCTTCCTGTTTTCTTGAGAAAACAGCAGACCCCTAAATCAAGTGCCAAAGATCACTCAGCGAGGAAGCCATGTGCTGCCAAGTCCATGATAAGAGGTCAAAGGTGTGATCCCAAGTGTCTTAGCTCTGTTTAGTTTGCCTTTGAGGATGCTGTGTCTCCGAATTTGTTACGAGCATGTTTAAGCATGATGTTTCTTGAGTCAACCAGTCCTACATCTAACTTTTTAATTCAAGTTGCAGGAGGGTTTTTCTCTATCACATTGTCTGGCAGTCAGTAAACTGCTGTATTTGCTCATGCTCCGGATCTAATTCAATAAAGGTCTGTTAAGACATTGCTTTCTGGAGTTCAATAATTATTAGAATGGATTACCAGATGCCCTTACTTATTCTGAAGACTTAAGCAGTTATCTGTCTTAAAAAAAATCTCTTTCCAAATCTATTCCCATGAGATCTTCGACCAATCTGTATGTTAATGTTTAAAGTTCCTCATTAGGACAAAGTCATGTAACTTGAAATCTCCTTAAACACCTCTAGCTCAGGTTTGGCCCTATGAATACAGATTGGTCTTTTTTTTTTTTAAAGGAAGATTCTAGTCTTTTGCAGAGGCATCCCTAGTTTGTGTAATGTAAAGCCTTCTGCATCATTCGTGTCTCACCATGTCAGCTGTGCATGTAAAATAATGTCATTTTCCCGTTTTTGCCCATGGAATGAGAAAACATCAGGAAAATGCCTGGCTTCACCGCGGGGTCACCTGAAATCACACGGAAACACAATTCTGTATCTTCCTCTGTCCTTGAAAATGCTCGGCATCTTTGCCCAAAAGATTCTGTGTATGAACCAATGAAGGCCAGTCCTGACTGCTGGGTCTCAGTGGGTTGGGTGTCCACCTACAAAGCAAAAGGTCGCTGGTTCGATTCCTAGTCATGGCACATGCATGGGTTGCAAGCCCGTTCCTCGTTGGGGCGAGTACGAGAAGCAATGGCTGATGTTTCTCTTACATCGATGTTCCTTTTCCTCTTTCTCCCTCCTTGTCCCATCTCTCTAGAAATAAATAAAATCTTTAAACTAATGAATGCCAAATCCCAGGGCCTTAGCCGAAGATCCCTACCTGGCTCTCTCGACAGGCACAGATGTGGTGTGTAGAACTGGTGATAACCGTGAGAACGCAGGTAGGTCTCCTGATCCTGTCTAGTGGGCGCCTTTGGTTTTCAGAATTAAAGAAGAAAAACTCATTCACTTACCTGGCCACCCACAGACATTCAGGGTCTGACCTCCGCACTCGCCAGCAACATGAAGGCTCCTCCACCTGCTCAGTGGGCACTTGTCTTCTGTCTGTGGGAGCAAAGTCATTACCACATAGACAAAGGCTGTGTCTTCCCATGTGGGGCTGGCACCTTCCCAGTTTTTGCTAGAACATGAGTTTGGGGGTGGGGAGATGGTAGGCACTGAAATTAACAATTAATTCCCTACGATTGGTCTCCGTATTTATAGATCATGGTTCATACGTTATGGGTGGAGACATAGAGTGGTCACTAAGTCAGGCATGTATAGAAATAACGTGAACTACCAGAACTGGGAGAATAAATGAATTATAAATGCCATTTATATTTAACTGTTGAAATGAGCTCTGAGATAAGAAAAATTAGTTCATTCTGTTCCCAAAGAAGCACAGGCTCAGAAGGTAAAGAAACCAGCCCAAGGGCCCGGAGCTCACGCTCTTTCATCCACCTTGTCCCCTCTCTGTGCATAACCAATCTGCTAAAATATTCATGGAAGCTTAATTCAACGTTGGCATCTTTATAACGTGAGCAAAGATTCACTATTAAGTTCCATTTCAGCAATGGGTCGTTTGTCAACCACGGCTCATTCAACATGTTTGACCACTTCATGCTAATGAATGATGAATATTCAGAAATTTGAAGGGGAATAATACTTTATTCCTGTGTGGAATAGCATCTGAAAGAGAAAGCAGAATGTGCCCAAAGCTATAGAAAAATGTATCCGCCTACGAAAGCATGGACACACCCCAAATCATTCCGGAAGCAATACAATGAGAAGGAAGTGACCAGTGATGGATGCTACAACGGCCTGAGTTGAGGAGAGGACAGACACATTTATGTCTAGAAGTTAAATGTCGTAGAATGTAAACACAGTAAAGGTGTTCATTGAGTGCCGGACGTCGTCCACTGAGTGTGATCGGTTCTCCTATCAGCCTTGTGGAGGCGACGAAGCTCAGGCAGGAAGAGGTCAAGGTTGTCGCTCAGGTTTGCAGAGCTGCTGAACATCTTAACAATGCATTACAGTGCATTTCAATTTCGAAAATTATGCATGCTTTCATTAGCTTGCATACACCACCTACGTTAGACGCTCCTTAATCCAAAGGTATCCTCAAGAACTGCACTTAAAAATTAGCACCATTGTTCCAAAAATTCCGTTAGGTGGATCCTATTTAGACCCAGAGGAGCAGTTGAAACATAGTCCTAGAATGATTTTCTGAATGGAGCGGTAGACCATCTAACTGTGTAGTAGTCACACCATCTATATGGCATAACGTCACCAAAATACGGTGAGCCGCTCCTGGCCACTTGGGAAGAGTTCGCCTCCATCGCCCAAAATTGCTTCTTACACTCGGTGTTCGGGTCACCTACCCGGTAAACGCTAAGTCATTATTAGTAAAACTATGTCTGTAATGACCTGGAGGGCACGCAAGCGACGCTGAATAAATTCACTCTGCTGTTAGAAGAGTGTCCCCAAACTTCCAATCACTGGCCCAATTTAAACGGCCTTTTTAGCCTTACGGTGTCGCTTTTTCCTGACGACAAGGCTATTGGGCTACAATCCACTGAAATGAGTGAACATTCCAGAAACCCGGAAGGCAGTTCCACGTTCTAAGAAAGGCATAGCTCTCATCTTGCCTGCTACATACACAGGCCTCCTTACCTGACCCCTGGAGTGGGGGCGGGGCAGTGAGCAGTGTCAGGTCTGGGACTAACCACCACCCCCCAAACTGCGCCCCCCCTCGAAATGTCCGCTGCCTAAACTTGTCACACATGGCAGGGGGACCCACATGGCCTCACGAAGAGGTTCCACAGCGACTTCCCCGCCCGCGCACACGCGTGTCCGCCCACACAGGGTGCGTTCTGCCTGCCCGTTCTGCACGCAGGTGGTGTGCGCCCGCCTTGTCTCCGGCCTCTGGGGACCAGGGCTGTTCCCGAGGACTCCGGGAACAGCGAGCGAGCGGAGGCAAACCCTCCTTTTCCCCTGGTGGCGGCCCCTCGCTGGGTCCCGGGAATCTGCAGTGCCACGAATCCCGAGCAGCTAATAATGGGAGACGGAAGAGGAGCTGGAGGAGAAGAGAGGACCGAGGGAGGGGCCGTTGTAGCAGAGACAGCGAGCTAGGGTCTCTGCGCTTTCACGCGCGGAGCCTGGGAAGCTGGCGGGGAGGCAGAGACCCCGCGCCTCCGGTCCTTTGAGATGATTTTCCCAACTGCGCCCGGAAGCCAGCGCTGGGCGTGTGTCCTGCGCGGGGCGCGGGAAGCCCGGGGGGCGCGGGCTGCCAGTCGCCGCCACCCGGCGCTTTGGCGGCGTTGGCGCTCCGAAGACGCGTGCACGCACCCCCGGCGCGGTGCGGGTTTCCTCAACCGCCCAGCTGCCGCCTCGGAAGGGAGTTTCTAGCAGCTCCCTCTCCGCCGCCTCCCCTCCCCCCCGTTCCGGGGTTTCACCCCAGCCGGGAGCTCCGCCGCGGCCGCCCTCCGAGGGGCGCAGGTGCCGCTGTCCGCGCCGACGCCGCCGCCTCCGCGCGGGCCTGGGGGCTTGACCCGGCGCCGCCGCCCGCGGATGCACCCGCGCCCGGGACTCCCCGCCCTCCCGCGCGACCTCGCGCCCGGGCGGGCGGCGCTTTCGGAGGGTCGGGGGCGGGGAGGGGAGCGGGGGCCCGTCCGGGGGTAGCCGCCTCCGCCTCCGCCGCCGCCCGCGGCGCCTCGCAGCCCGGCCCGGCCTCGCCAGCGCCACCTCCTCGCGGCGGCCGCCCCCGCCCGCGCCCCGCGGCTCCTCGGCGACGGGAGGCTGCATGCCCCCGCCGGCCGCCGCGCTCCGCAGCAGCATGCTCTATTTCCAGATGGTGATCATGGCAGGGACGGTGATGCTGGCGTACTACTTCGAGTACACGGACACCTTCGCCGTGAACGTGCAGGGCTTCTTCTGCCACGACAGCGCCTACCGCAAGCCCTACCCGGGCCCGGAGGACAGCAGCGCCGTGCCGCCCGCGCTCCTCTACTCGCTGGCCGCCGGGGTCCCCGTGCTCGTGGTAAGCCCCGCGCCTGCCCGCGCCCACCCCCTTCCTCCCGGGTGGAGGCCCCGCCGAGTCTGGGGCGCCCCGGCCTCGGCCCAGTGAGTTCCTCCAACTCGCGGGCAGCCCCTTCCCCAGCGGACATCTGCTAGGGCGCGCCAGGGTGGGTGCGGAGGACACCCCCATCCGTCTCCCCCGCGCGCCACCCCGCACCCCTGCGGCAGCTGCAGCGTTGGTGATGGAGGGGGGAGGGGAGCGGAGGGACTGTCGGAGGTGTTGGGTTGGGGTCAGGCGCGGTAAGCCGCTGAGGTGCATATTGACTTCACCTGCTGGGTGGTGGCCTTGCTCCCACATGGCCAGGGGAAGATGAGCCCCAGCGGGGTCAGCGACAGGGGCAGGGGACCTTCTTCTAGGGGGTGAAAGGGACTCCCGCTCGGTGGTCAGGGCGCCGTTTCCCCCCCTCCTGCCGGGTCAGTGCCAGTGCCAAAGGGACTCAGCTGACCACAGCTGTCAAAGAACAGAGAACTCCCCCATGGAGGGCTCCGCTGGGGACTGGCAGGAGCCGGTCACGAGGCCAGCACTTCTCCTGGGGCTGCTCCCCTCTCTGGGCAGCGCGGCTCCAGCTGTGATAGCCTCTCAGAGGACGCCTCCGGTGTGTGGACTGTGTGTGTCTGTGCGGACACACCTGTGTGCGCATGTACATGTGTGATTATTAGGATGATCATCATTTAATATGTGCCTAGGATGCGGAGTCCTTGGTGAAAGAACTGGTGGTGTTTGCTCAGGAAGCGTTTGGGTTCCTGTGATGTTGTCCAAGTACTGGTGGTCCCCTTGCTGAGATGCCTCCCCCTGTCCCTGCTTTCTCCCCCCTCCCTCCCTGGACAGACCACAGATAACCGGTAGGAAATTAAACATGAAGAGGCAAGCGCTGTTTCCATTGGCTGCATCTGCGAATCGCAGCGAGGAGTGTTAAGAACATCTGTGGTATCTGTGAGGTTTGGGTCTTTCCTATGACTTCAGGGGGAGACCCTTTAATAATTTACAAAAGAATGAACAGTGCCTAGCACCCATCACGGAATTCTAGGAACGAGCCAAGGAGCTTCTCGCTCACCTCCCGGAAACTTTGTCTGGCAGGGGTGTGCCTCGGGGCTGACTTCCGTCAGCTCCAGCTCACCGGTTTGAGAAGCGCTGCACCTCGCACGCAGAAACGGTTTGTTTTGTTTTCACTGTCATTCGCGAACATGTGTCGGAAATCCCAAATCCAGCTTCATGTTTGTGCTCTCTTGCCACCATGGGAATAGTGGGAACAGGAAAAGAAGTGGTTTTCTTGAGGCCGTGTCTGCAGATGTTGGGTTCCCAGGCACATGGTTTCCAGGAGTCAAATAGCTCAGGGATTTTTTAAGGTGTTGTTTGTTTGTTTTTGAAAAAAGCCCGCCACCATCAGAACACCGCTTTCGTTTGCCACCATAATCAACAGTGTCTGCAACCCATCCCTTGGTCATAGCTGTTCTGCGTGTTATTTAAATGAGGTGGCACTTTTTGGATCCTAACCGCCATCCACAGTGGCGGGTGCCAGTCAGAGACACTAACACAGTGGTCCACAGATTTCGATTCCTCCCCCCTTCAGGGGAACTGAGAAGGGGAGTGGGAATCAGTCCATGTGTCCAGAGTGCCTGCCCTGGGTCAAGCTCTGTGGGCGAGAGCCATGTGTACCTCCTAGGAGAGTGACCCTTGAGGACCCTGAGGACCAGATAATAAACTAGAAGCATCTGAGAGCCAAGGTGGCAGTTGTGATGTTTATTGACCATGAGACTGGCACCAGATGCCATGGCTCGGGAAGGAAGGGCCGAGATGGCTGATGGGCAGGCCTCAAGGGAGGCGCCAACTTGGTTTACATGTTTGATATTCAGTTCTTTAGGTTCCTGAGAAAGAACTGGGGGGTCAGTGGGCAGAGGAGGGGAGGTTGGGTTTTGAGGGATCACTGCACACTGGCCTCTGGTCCCCTTCTTCTCTGCAGGGTGTACGGTCTCCGAGGGAAACCGTAGGGCCAGCAGTTGCAGCTCTGTGCCTCTGAAGGACCCCGGCTTCGCACGGCCACTTACGTGAAAGTGCTGTCGTTACTAAGAACGGCCATGGTGCCGTCATTTGTTGAGTTAGGTATCTCACACCTGTCCGGTATTTACATTATCTCTGAAAGCAATGAGTACTATTGTCACCTGTCATTTGGGAAAACTGAGACTTAGAAGGATCAGGTGTCATGTCCAAGGACCAGGGCTAAACGTGCTATGCCCAGAATTTGAACCTGCTCTGCCGCACTCCGAACCGTCACCTTCTCTGTTATAATATGCTTTCTGGGTTTAGCTGTAAATAATTCTTCTCAATTCGTGTATCAGTTTCTCTCTCCATCACACACATTTGCTGGACTACAGTGGTAAAGGTTCTTCATCATATATAGTTCTTAACCTTCAAGACTCGTTTCTAATGCTTTAGATTAATTTCAAAAAGTAGCCCTTCTCACTACCACCAAGTAAGGTTTGTTTTATGTTTTATAAACGTATTTCAACACTGGAAGCAACGTATGTTTTCAATTTTATCGCCTTTATCTCGTGGTGACTTGGGGACCAGGTTGGAATCTAACAAACTTGGACTCAGACCCAAAGCCTGTCCGGCTGCTTTGTGAACAGTGGGGAACTGGACTTGCTTCGTGACCTTGAATCAGTGGCTTAAGCTCGTTAAGCCTCCATTTCCTAAGTCACAGGATTTTGAGCATTAAATTAGCTTTAATGCCTAAAGACCATCCTTGGCCCGTACTTGGTACTCCCATGAGAATCACTGTCTCATTAGCATCATTCATATGGTCATAATTTGGTAACCGTTTATCAAGTTCCTGTGTTGTGAACACCACACCAGGCTGCGTGATCCTAAGGCATTTACAGCCCAATTAGATGAACGTGCCGCAGGTCACAACAGGTCATCGCAGCGGAAGTGTTGCTGTGGACCTCCATACATGTATATGCACACACGCAACACAGAGACGCGAGGGGTTTGGCGGATGACGAGACCATTTTTCTTCGGAGGGGCGAGGGAAAGCTTCCTGTAGAACATGGTGGCATTTGTGATGGGAGTGGAAGGAGAGGCTGATGTGGACTTGAGTCAGGATGTCCCAGAGGCAGCTACACGAGTGACCACTTGGTCATGAAACCAGCGGGCTGTGCTCTTGAGCTGGCAGTGGTCTGTGCAGGCTGTGGGAGTGGGGTTCAGCCGGGGCAGCCTTGGGTCCTCGGGGATGCGTCCTGGGGTGCCAAGGCCAGGCTGCGGTTCCCTCGGTCTGTGAGGGACTGAGTCACACAGGGACATTGCCTGGTGGGTGATGTTTTAGGACATTTGGGGAGCAGTAGTGTAGGGCTCTTCTATTATCAGAATATCCAGCAGATGGTTTTAAACTCTTTATTCCCAAGTCTATTTGGTGTTGGGAAATACGACTTTTAATCGTGTTTTCAGAGAACACCTGTAATTTGGGCTCATTTACAAAAATGATATGGCTCATGAACTCTCTGAGAACCGGGACGGTTCAGTGGGACCTGGGTAGCCTTTGCCAAAGCGCCATGCACGTACAGAATTTAAAGAAGTCAGTTAGTGGTCTTTGGCGTCCACTGAGTTCAAGAACTGGGGGAGGCAGTGGTTTCCGCTGCCTGAACTTGGACGCAGTGGCTCTTAGACCTCCCAGCACCCCGATGACTTGAAGGCATTAGAGCTGGACCATCCCCCCTCATAGGTCCAGAAGCAAGACAGGAAGCCTGCTCTGAGCACCAGGACAGCTCTGATCCTTGAGGCCAACATACCCAGGAAACTCCCTCTGGACCTAGAGGCTGAGGGACAGAGCTCCCGTTGCTGTCCCAAGGGTGTGGTGTCACTTGATGTAGCAGAGGCTGGTGATGACAGAAGGACATCCTGTGTCCTGAGCTCTGTCTCAGTAGATCCGGGTGCCTAAGGCTCTCCCCAGACCCCTGCGCCTGGGAGCTGGCTGCTGGCTCCTCAGGCAGCCCCTGGAACACACTCCTGGGTGCGGGCCAGGACCGGGAGCACAGCCATGGGAGCCGGGCGAGTCTGGATTCTTCTCCTGGGTTCTCTCGCTTACCGTCCATAGGACCTTGGGCTGAATGTTCTCATTCATAAGTGGGAGGCAAAACACTCTACCTCTTAAGAGACGGTGCCTGTAGAGGTTCCGTCTACAGATTCTGGGGGCAGCCAGACGCTCCAGCCGAGTGACCTGAAGCCAGTCCTCCACTCCCTCAGTTTCTTCCGCTGTAGAAGGGAGATCCTGCGGGTATTAGTGTGAGTGGGAAATGGGCTAATACACGTAAGTGTCCAAGTGGTGCCCAGCTCTACAGTGTGTGTGGCCCCCGTGAAGCGCCCCCAGGGTTGTGAAGACCACTGTGGATGGCCTGTTGAAAGTGCCTAGAGAAAGTCTTGGTTTGCTGGTGGATTCCAGGGCTGGGGAAGTATCAGCGCTGGACAGAAGCCACCGAGCTCAGTCCACTCCCCAACAAAAACCGGGGAGCCTGACCAGCGAGCATCGGAGAGCTCAGTCGGAACCCTGTTCTCAGAGTCCGGCCAGTGAGCCCTGGCTCTGAGGCGCCTGCGCCCCTTCACCAGAGCTAAGGCCGGCTAAGGTTCCCCAGGCGCCTGACCCTGTGCCACCTTCATCCACGGTGCTGCTTCCCGTAATGCTCGGCCTGGTGGGACTTTCTCTAAACATCGGTGCTGTCGTTAAATCCACTGCGTCGGTGAGATGCTTAGTGAGATTAAATGCCAGACCTGCATCAAATTCCTAAAACCCATTAAGATAATTAATCTTCCCAGTAAACTTAGGCAGGAGACTTGAGGAGATGAGCTGGCCAGTCTGCAGCCCCGCGGTGACCGTGACGCAGGGCCAGCACCACCCATGCCTGTGGCTCTTTCGTTACACAGCTTTGTTCTGACCCGTTAGTGAGTCTTCAAAGATTGTTAGCCGTGCT